CACCCATTCAACCTCACTCAACCTCAACCATGCACGTGCTCGCTCACTTATTTTTGTTTGGTTTGTTAGTGAGTTTGTTTGTTATTTTGTTGGCTTTTTAGTTGGTTTGCCAGTTGACTCCGACTTGCACATCTGAGGTAATGGCTTTGAAGGTCTTGAGTGCCTTGGTGGTTCTTGCAGGGGGTTGGGGCATGGAGGTCCCACCCTGTTGGACAGTCCACCAGATGATGAGGTGGAGTTTGAAGTGGCCTTAGTGCTTTCGATGCCACCCTGTGAAAACGGGATCCCCTTGCCAAGCTTCCCCACCTTTTCACCCATGGCCGACATGGATGATACCGACATGGAGGCTGAGTTTGTTGCAGAAGATCAGTTTGTTGAAGAAGATCCATACATGTTGGAACCAGAGGTCAAGGTGGAAGAAATGAAAGAGGAGCCTGCAGAAGAGTCACCGGCAGCAGAAGCGCCTCCATCTGCGCAGGAGGAAGTGACTCCACAGGCGGCGTACTCCGCTGCTGTCACCTTGCATGTGGACCTGAAGGCCGTGGTGCGCCTGCCGCACGCGCAATGGGAGGCTGTGTTGCGGCAGGCTTACAGGAAGCTCTGCCGCACGCAGCACCCCGACAAGGGGGCGAATCTTTCACTTCCTTGAAACCTGCCTTGGACAGCTTGCTGTCTTGGCTCCAGAGGCATTTGGCAGATTGCCAAGAACTGCAGAAAAAAATCCCAGACTTTGGCTGCTTTTGCCTCCAATGCCGGCGGCAATACCAGCGGATGTCCAGCTGTCCAAATTGCATGGGCCTGGCATCCGCTAAAGGTAAGCCGCGCAAAGGCTGTGATATCCCCACAGGGGCCGGCCACTTGAAAAGGCACTACCCTACCTGGTGGGGGGAGTAATGTTGGATCCTGATTAGTAAATAGGTCCTCTATAATGCTAAACTTTTCCAAATTTATTCAGACCCCCCTGTTTGAAAAATGGTACCTCTATAATGCTAAATTTTTTTGGGGCCCTAAAGTTTTAAATTGGAAACCCAATTAATAAGGGTTTGAATTCCTTCTGAGGCCAATGATTATGATTCATTAGCTGATATAGCTTTCTCTAGGTTTCTTCAAAACTGACAGCTGACCAAAACCACCAATTC